TAGGGATAAATCTGAAGAAGAGGTTTTTTAAGCAGGACATAATACTTTAATTTTTATATTTTAACTACATTATTCCTTCAGTAATAGTTCTAGTTGGATTCCACATATACACAAGTACCTATCTGCCTCTACACCCAAATTTCATACATTGATGCCTCTGCCATGGCATCTTAACCTGATTTTCATGGTTATCTTGCTTTTCTTATGCTGCTATGTTTCTCCTCAGTTGTCATCTGGGCCAGTTTTCCCCAGTGTTTAGATACTTAAATAGTCATGAAAGACTGAAAAATACTTTGACACTTAACATTGATAAATATCTACTTACCTGTAACTATAGTATCAGAACAGATAGGACATACAGGGGCTTCCAACACAGCTTTTACTGGAAAAATGATGGACCCTCATGTGTTCTGTGGATTATGGGTGTTTTCTGCCACAGGTATTTCCTGAGCCTTTGGTTTTAGACATGAATATGCTTTTTGCAGTAGCCTATAGTCAATGCTTTGGAGTTACTGCTTTGTAATCATCTGAATTCCTTTCTGCAGTAGTGACTATTCTGAATCCTAACAGAGATTTGCTACATTAAAAAAACCTTCTGCTCTCTCACAAAAAACACAGCAGCTTTTATAAAAGTAATTGGTTTTCAACCCTCCTTTAATTAAAGAGAATAGTTGGGGAGAAATTCATGTCAGAAATACACAGGAAATCAAAGTACGACTTCACCAAAGAACTACGTGTCCTGGAGAAAATGTAACAGCATTTTTCCAGATCATTATGATGCAGGGGAGGTAAAAACTACTAAGAGAAAAGTCCAACATTGTGTGTGCAGAATGGATAATTTTAAATATTGTAATTTTTTAAAAGTTTTGTTTGGTTTTTTTGAAAAGCAGAATAACATCCCATTTACAGAATAATAACTGCTCGCTTAATTTCAAGTTTCCATCCTTATACACAATGCACCTACTAAAGGAAAATCTCAACATCTTAGAACTATCCATTGGAAATTCATCCTTAAACATAAAACATTATTGGGAAGCCAGTGTTTTCTGATTCTTGATCCCAGACTTTAAAGACAGCCCTTCTCCTGGTATACCAAACGCTGTACAAAAAATACAGACCACAGATACCCAAAAAATGGGGTGAACAATAGGATTCATATTGAGATACAGCACAGCTCCCAAAAGGGGCTTGCATCACAATCCTAAATATTATCCTACTCATTTTACATAGAGGAAACAAACCCACCAGTCCTCTCCAAAACTAAATTTTTGCTTGAACTCTTGATATTGTTTTCAAGCAAACCACTTTTTCAGAGCTTGTTGGTGCTTCCCTGATACTGGCCACAGGATCTGTGTCCCAGCTTCTAACCTGAGCACTGGAACTGGGGGCACCTGCACCATGGTGTATGAGGAGATCAGAGGCTAAATCCTGGTCCTGGGTGGCTCCTTCAATTTTTCCCTTCATTTAAAAAGTTCAAGGGCCAAGTCTATTTTGTGCTTCCTCATTTGGGCTGTGAGTAGAACTAAAGGCAAAAATGTCTTAAGAATCATCACTTCTTTTATTTATGGAGAAAAAAACCATAGTTATAACACAAGGTGTGTTTTTCAAATTCAATTCCTAAACTTGTATTTAAATAATTGAGTAGAAATTAGATTTTGGAAAAGTTCTTGAACTTTCACTTACTTAAAGAGGACAGCAGTGCCTTGAATATGAAATTCTGCTCCTCAAAAGGTCCTAAATAGATTTGTGTGCCTGGGGAATTTGAACCCTGTTACACATAATGCCTTTTCAAATGCTGCTCTATGTATGCCTAACTGGAGATTAGGGACCTTAACTCTGAACATTATTTGTTTCCAACATTTAGGTTTCGATTATGATTAATTAAAAAATAAGTAAATATACACACCATGAATAGGTATTACTATGAAGATCACATCAGCAGAGGGTTGAATCACTGTTTTGATGTAATTAACTCCAGACTCTGAGGTACACCAGCAGGGCAGTCTGAGGAATCCCCAAACTCACAGGGCTGCATCCTTCACCTCTAACACAAAATAGAAAGAAAAAACCCTTAAACCTTCAGCTAGTCTGCATAGTTTAGAATTGTGCGAAAACCAGCAAAAGTGCATGGAAGCAAGTAGCGACTTCTTCCTCTAAAGTATATTCCCTAAAAAGCACATAAAAATACGACAACTTACATATTTTAAAGTCTGGTAGGAATTCAGGGAAAATAAGGGATATTTATATTTTCCTTCTCTTCTGGCCTTCTGATTAAAACAAGCAAGCTGTCTGGGTACCTTGTGCAAGCCCCCCCCCAATTAAACCCAGGACCTCAAAGAGCATTTATTAAAATCTTATTAAGATTGGCCTTTCTGAAAATATGACACACATTTTCTTTTTATTTCACTGCAGATACAACTTACTAGCAAAAGGCTTGGCAATGATGAGAGATCCTAGGAGAATTTTCGAGAGCTAATCATGAAGATTACTGCAAGCGCTGGCTTTATAATTGCAGGAAAACTTTGAGAGTCCCCATTTTTCCAACTTGGTGCTTTATGTTCTAAACTGTACAGGATTTTATTCTATTCCATTCCATATTAGCATATTATAGTTAAACATTTTGTGTGTGTGCACAGCAGATTACACAACTGTACACTTTGGCTAACCTGCTTATAAAAAAGCTGAAGCAAACAGATAATCCCTTTCTAATGAAACATGGAAATTTTCTTTTCTAGACCATCTAGAAAGAAAACCACTGGCACCAGAACAATCTAGCTCTGTTTACTTAACGAGATGGCAAAAACCTTTCACCTGGTCATGCATCCAATACCTGTTCTCCTCCGGTTTTTGCTAATGAAAATTAACATCAGGGCTGCGGAATCATAAACATATTCTGGAAAACTTAAAATGCCAAAGACATTGTTCATAACCCTCTCAACATCTTTTCTAGTATCCTACTCTGCACCTTGTCAGGCTGAGAGCTAAACTTTAAATGTTTGTTCAGTGAAGGCAAAATCCAGAAACCTCATTGCTTGGGATTTGGTTCATCAACACCCAATCAACACAATGTTTTTGTGGAACATCTATTACACTAATTTGCCAGACAAGCACCTTTTTTGTGGTCACGGCCATATTAGCATTCCCAAGAAATAAAACAAGCAACAAGAAATTAACATTTAAGAAGCAGTTGGGTGCAATACACAGAGATCAAGAGCAGATGTAGGAAATATGGAGGATAATCTCAAAATATTATAAGTTCATCTGTGGATAATGCTGAGCTTCTTAAGAACTACAGGTATAAAATATTTCAACAGATGAAGTGGCACTATTGCTGTCCAAATTGCACACTGATATTGTATGGCAGTACTTTCTCCTTGAGCAAATAAATAAAATAAATATCCACTCACTTTTCATGATACAAACCTCTGTAGCCTAAGGAGGAATGGACCTTCTCTCCGGGGCTGCCAAGCTTCCAAAGTACTTTTGCAAGAGTACTACATATATATATATATGTATATGTGTGTGTGTGTGTGTGTATATACACACACACACACTGCTGCAGTAATAGCTAAACTTAAATTTCATTGAGATAAAAATCTTGCTTGGCTCACAGTGCACTGTAAAAGCTAGAGAGGTGCCCATCACTCCCTAATTAGCTACAAGAAGCAATAAATTCTAAATTACTTAATCAAAACAGCCACACTGTAATTTGTCTGTACTCCCTAGGTGTGGCACTACATCACAACTGTCATACATGAATGGTTTGTTATTTTTTTACATAGATACAAATATCAGTAAAGAAAAAAAGACTAATGACCACATTTTCACCTTTTCCCATGTCACATTATGAAGTTCTAGTGGAACAGAACAGCTGTGTTGCACCTGCACTTCATGAGGTAATAGTGATTATATCACAGTGTGTAAAAGTGTGGCTATTGGTACTTAGCAGATAAAGAAATGTTCAGATCACTCCATGGAATGATACCAAATCACCTCTCAAGTCAATCTTAGTGTACAAGGCACCAAGTTTCCTTTCGATTTTTAAGAGCAAGATCTTGTATACCTGTACAAGAAATATTGCATATATATACTTGCCATTTATAATGACACATACAGCAATGAAAACTGTATCTGCAACTGGTAACATAGAATTTGAGCCAAACAAGAGAAAACTTACCTATTTGAAAAAAGAACACTTGACAAGCAACATTGACAAGCTACTTCTGCACCAGTATCTACTTGAGTTTCCACCAACTTGCCTCCAACCAGAGTGTCCTCACAAAGCTAGTAACTGAAAGTGACACAGGGCTATATCAGTTTCAATTGCTTTCTATCATCTACAACTTTAGGAGTCACATTTCCAATTTTATATTCATATCCTTAGCCCATTCAAGAGCTCAGACAGATTTGCATTGTGAAGCCCCTGTAGCTTCACTCGTGAAAATGAGATGTATCATCAAAAGTTAATATCACACCTCTGATTCTGAACATACCATGGACAGTACGTAAGTATGGAAGATGTAACACTGGAATATGGGGGAAAAAACTGCTTAGAAATCTAATTAAAGAGAAATTGTGGACTGATACTTAGAAAATGTTACGCCGTCTGTACGTGGGGAAGCTCCTGTTTTCCTTAACAAAAGGAAGGGGAAAAGTCTAGAAATTAAGAGTAGATCCTCAATCATAATAACAAATAATGTTGTGAATCCTGTCAAATTTTAAATGAAGAAAGAGTAAGTGTAATCTGTAAATCAAGGACTGATATCAGCAAACTTACAGCAAACCCATCTCCTATCACTAGCTCAGCAGGAGAGGCTGGCTTAGGAGACTGATTTTTTCCTGGCTCCCAGAGGAGTGGGAATTCACATCATTTGGCTTCAAGTTAAAAATGGTTCTAGCTGCACATCTGCAATTCTGAAAAAATGTGGCTGGTATCCAGGCACCTTCCCAGACACACTGACATCCGTTTGCTGCTTTGCAAGACAGAGTTTACACACCAAAACAGAACAACTTGATTTATTTAAAATTCACCTCAAAATGCATTGTGTTCAGTTTCTTTTTTTTAAATGAACATTCAAAGCATCAAAATATTACTAATTTAAAAAGAACATTTGTTAGGAAGAAGATAATTTACATACTGTAAATTGTGGCTGTGAGGGAGAGAAACAACTGATGGTAGATTAGGCACAGTATGAAGGCCAACATGCCAGAAAACAATGCAGCTTTAGGCTCAACTTTTAAATGATCTGGACAAAAAAAACCCCAATTGGGCAGGAAAATTAAACCAACCACTTAATTGAGGGTATTTGTATAAAACAAAAGTGTTAGTAAGTTTTCTATCTAGACCTAACTCATTCATGTATTTAAAGAATTCTATCTTCTTCCAAATAACAAAAAATGTTTCTAAACCAAGACAGATTATTATTTGGAACTGGCATAGTAAAATAAAGGATCACAGTATACAGAGTTTAAAATCCTGTACCAGGAAATAGCAACAAGTGGTGTACAAGGGGATAATTTACGTACATTATCTAATTTTTAAAAACAGAGATATAAAATATCAATTGCATAGGGATTTAAATATAAGGCCAAGCAGGAGATTAAAGTAAAATAGAGCTCATAAGAAGGACACTATGGTGTTAAAACATAGTATTTCCATTTGAGTTAATGTTTAATTCAAAATCACAGTATTTTGCTAGTACTACAAAAAGTGAATGTCAAACTGTCCCATTAATCTTGAACTGAAAACTGACATTAGAACTTCTAAACAGTACAAAACTAAAGCTCATCGTCTAAACCTGATCAGTGTATTAGCACAACAGTGCTTGGTACGTACCTGATTTATATACTCTACCTTCTGTAAATAATATAAAGGTTATTTCTTGTTAATAAGTGTGAGATCACAATATTACTGCATGCCATCAGTGGTTTGCAGGCTTACTTGACATTTAATTATTCAGTCTTTGAAAGTGTAAGATCCTACCCTGCAGAATCTTCACTGATTGAACACAGAACACTGTCATTAATAAAACACAATAGAAGTTCCACCACTAACAACTAACATATAAGCCAGGATTTTAGGTCTAAACCCAGAACAGTTCATTATTATTAACTCACAGCTATTTTTTGTTAGGAAGGTAAACCTGTAGACTTCCAAATAATCTTGTATGTATTAAATATAAACAAATATGTAACTAACGGTTGTCTCTTGGAATTTCAAGTAGATTATTCAATTGTGAAAGAATTTCTGCAAAATCAATTTTGAGTTGTTAAAATGAAGTTCAAATATTAATTTCCATTTCTACATGTAGCTTAATTAACCTAAAATTGTGAGGAATAGTAGTGTAAGGAAAAAAGAATTCTCCAGATTAATTAGACATTAAGGTACACTAACTGTGAATACCTGAACCAACATTGTAACTGAAAAAGTGCATAAACAAAGTAATACTACAAATGTGTTAACTACAGAACAAAAGGTTTTCTGAAACCTAAGTAATATTATTTTACAGGTTATTTACAGGCTGTGATTTTTCCAGACAGAGCCAATTCAGGATCTTAAAGTTCCTTTGATATATTCGAAGTGTCTTTTGGCTTCCAACTTATTTGGCGAGGAACTGATTCCCAGCCCAGGGAATCAGGTACTGTGCAGCTGAACAACACTGCCATTGTGGTTCTGTGATTCTTCAAAATTCACTTCTTTCCATTCTTCAAAGCCAGAGCAGTGTTTTCACTTCACACTCTTGGTGGGTGTCTCGGACTCCGTGGACTGTCTGCCATCAGTCCACGCCTCCCGCGTGCTCTTCAGGGCCAGGGTTTTCTGCTGGTCCACCACAACGTAATCCACCCTCTCGTCTGCCACGCTGCTGCCCGAGCCACTGTTCTTCTTCTGGGAACAGCCAGAAACAAGTTCAAGTAAATTAACAACAGAAAAGCAAGCAGGTGTCCCAAACAGACACAGAACAAGCACTGGTTTCTCTGAAAGGGTCAACACTGTCTCTCCACTAAGCATTTGAGAAATTACCATTAAGAGATCTTACTGAACATCTGCTTACCTTACGAGGTGGGGTAGACTTTCCCGAATCTAGGTCCAGATCTAAATATTCCACTTGTTTATCTCCTTTAGGTTTTACCATAGGGCTGCTTCCTCCATCGAGGCTGTTGCTTCCAAACAAATTCTGAAATCATAATTTAAACAATCTCAGCTACAAATGTACAAACTAATGTGGTCCACATAATCAAATATGCTTGCTATAACTGCCAAAATGTAAAAGCTTACGGAAACAACTGCAAATCACTTAAATCAAGGAAATTTCATTGAGCCATTTTTAACATAGAATGTATGGCAAGGGCATACATTCTATGTTAAAAATGGGACAGAGTCAAAACCCAATGGGAGGAAAAAACCCAAAAACCATCCCCCCCAAATTTAAGGTTGCCACCCAACCCATCTGTGTTTTCCACTTAATGTCCCCTTCATATAATGAAATAAGAACAGATCATGTTTTGTTCTTTTTAAATGTAGTTATTATATCTCAAATTTAACATTACTTAAGCACAAACTTGTCTATTTCCCTCAATTTTTGTTAAATACCTACAATAATTTCTGCCTGACAGTAGTGGCAAATCTAAAAATTAAACATTTACATTTAATTCAAAAGTCATCGTGATTAAGGTGAAAATCAAAGAGTATTGTTCAATTGACAAGATTAAAATATTAAAACTTTGGCAAATATGTGTAGGGCTGCCTGAACTGAAGTTGCATTGTATATACCTAAATTTCCATTAGCCCAGACTTTTACAACCTCACCTCCTCTGTCCTCTCCCAGCCTGATCCCTCCCTCTTAACAGGTGTTATAGGAACAGTACAATAGAAGGACTCTTCTCTAAAAGATAAAGAAAAAACAGGAAGACAGAGGGCAGCAGTCAGCAAAAAAATGAAGAAGAAGGCAGAAGGAAAGACAGAAGGGTAAGGCTGAGAGCAGCTTGAAAGAAAAAGCAGAATATTGCTGATTTTATTAACTAAAACGTAAGTATGACATCAAAGAAGATGCTCCAAAGCTGATGGCAGAAAAAGATTAAGAAATACAGATTCCTTGCTAAGATAGAGTTGGAACAAGTAAAAATTCTCAAAAAGTCAAATTTTAAAACAAAGGCCATGAGATATGCAGAAATGTTCTGGTTCTTTAGGAAGTAAAATATTTTATGGGCTAAAGCAAAATGGGCTGGGCTTTTTAAATTGAAGTAATCCATTATATCTCTACTGTCCAGCTCATTTAACATTAAGTGGTAACAAGGACAAACACAAACAACTAATGTGAAGTCCATTTTCATTGCTCAAATTCTCAGAACAAATTTCTGTGTATTAAAGATACAAAAATCAGATTCTGTATCAATGTTTCCAGGATAAATTTAAAAAGCTGTTACTCATTAAACAAAAAATAATCTGTTATTCCAAACAAACTAAGCAGGCGGAACATATGCATTAGGAAACAGAAATTTTAAATACACGCAAATGAAACAGAAAGGAAACCTGTTGAATAACCTTTAAGTAGGACTGGTGCAAGAAAACAGAAGGTATTAATGAGCTGGAGCATTAATTGTACCATCTTGGTATGGAAGTTAAGCCCTTGGAACAGCCTTAGGAATCAACAGGAACACCTGGGTTGAACTGTGATTCTGTGCAAGGAGAACTGTGGGCACGGGTGGGGAGAATCTCTGGGGTAATATGGGATGTTTCTTGCACGTGTGAAACAGGACAGCACCCACTACTTACCAATGGCCCTTGCAAGAGAGGAGCTAAGAATTAACATCAGCAGTCCCCCGAGCTTGGTGCTTTTCCCCTGGGAAGCACAAGGCACAGCGTGGGGCGCCCCACAGGCTCTGGAGGCCGCGCTCCACTCTGCATCCCTGCTCCCACAGGAATGGCATGGGGGGAAGCTGGGATGCAGCACCCCGAGGCAGCAGTGGTGAGCTGGGGCAGGGACACTGCAGGGGGCTGCGAGGGGACCCAGAGCAGCAGGGGACAGGAGAGCAACCAGCATTGCAAGAGGAAAGCCCGGGGCAGTGAGATGGGCCAGCACATGCCATACAAGAAAGGCAGACACACAAACAGAACAAACAAGGTGCTAGACAGGCCCTCCCCAGAGAAGGTCATACATAAATGATTTCAAGATGAAAAATACTGCTGTACCCCCTGCTAAGAATCCAAACACATGAGTACACTGAACTGACTGGACAGGACTTTAAACAGTCCTAGCAGACTGTCCCTGACCACGGCATGGGAGGTTGGAACAAGATGATCTTTTAAGGTCCCTTTCAATCCATGATTTAAGGTCCCTTTCAATCCATTCCATGATTCTAGACTAGACAAAAAGCTGAGCTCAAGATACAGGTTTCCTACAGGTTTTGTGCATATTCTAAACTATATTTTAGTTTAGGCCTAGGTCTGCTGCCATTGCCTCCCTTAAAACTATTGCTATTGAGTCTTTTTCTCTCTCTCCTTTCCCTCACCGAAGAAAACCCACAGAGTATATCATTAAATTTTCCTAACTAGCTGCACTCCATGCTGAGGATCTGAAGCTTCATTATCTGAGAAAATTCCCCCCAAAGGGGAAAAAAAATGCAGACATTTAATACACAAAGACTCCGTCTATCTTCTTTTTTGAAAGATGCCTAATAAAATACACATGGTTCAATTTTCATAGAATGTATACCACAAGTATCAATTGTTTTTTTCCCCTGCTCCTTCTACACTTCCTGGAAGATGTCCTTTTAATGCAGTTTTTTTAAGCATGTCTCAGAGCTCCTAGGACAGTTTATTATTTCCCTTCATGACTTAATACTGGACTCACACATAGCCCAAGGATAAATGATTGCAAAGAGGGGACAAATTCTAGAAAAGAGGTAGAAAAAAAGTCATGTTGTATACTGCTTTATATAATAGACATGTATATCAACCATTTTCTTTATGCTCTTAACTTCTTCAGTGAAATCCTACCAAAATTACAGCTCTGCTATGGAGATTTTTTTATCATTCTGTTGATCTAGAAGTATAAAGCGAGTGATGTTGAATGAAGGATCTGTGTTGGCATGATTTAAAAGTAAGGACTGCACAGGAAGAGAGTAGTTAAGATGTAGATTTTACATACTGGGTCTTCAGAGGATTGATTTGGGTTCATGGATACATAATTCTCTTCACTGTCGTGCGAGTCACTGCTGGAAGTTGTGCTATGAACTGAATCCGGTCTGGGAGACACGGGAAACCTGGAGGAGCTAATTACCAGGAATTATTTCACAAACAATACATCTGCAATATCTTAAACCTCCTGGTAAACAACAAAAATAAGCATATTAGAGCTGAAATTTTCATTCAAGTTTACTAGAGTGTCACATTTTTTGGTTATACACAGTCCCTTATATTTAATATCACAAAACAAAATTTCACACAGACACACTTTATTTCAATGCACAGATACACACACAGACTCACACTCTTCCAAGGGAAACTTCAAGCTACAAACAAGCTAAAAATATGATACAGATGTACACACATTTATTAACACTCCAGTCTCCAAAATGATTAATCTGAATGAGGAAAAGCCAAGAAACTTACTCTCGTGCAAAGCTTCTGGTGATAGGAGATCTAACTGGAGCTTGTAATTCTTCCCATTCAGGCAGAGGTTTTATTTCTAGTGGAGCTGGTTTTGCTATGTAAGAAACAGACAACTGTAAAGCACAGAACTTTCCTAAACAAACTTAAATTTAATAGCTTTTCATAGACTAAATACAGAAAAAAACCTTTATCTTTCAAATAGTAAATACTAGTAAGGAAAGGGAAACACTTCCATTTTCAGAAAGACATGATATATTAACTTACATTTTTAATCTTTTCAGGTGACGAGAGGAAACATCAATTAAAAAATTAAAATATAAAATAAAAAAACCCCACTGCAACTTCAGAATTTTGCAGCATATACTTGTAGGCAGTAATTCTGTTTTGAAAAGAGATTTTGAAAGTGGCAGCATTGTGTTCTGTCCTCCTTCTCTCCTGATGACTTGTTGAGCTGGCAAGCCCAGGGCAGGGCTGGTGGACTGTTTGAGCAGAACCAGCTCTGGGGACTTCTCTTGGCTCAGAGCCAGCTGTTAATGTGCAAACTCTGCCCTCACTGTGTACATGTGCCCTTACTGGTGAGGTTTCAGAGCTCCATGAGTGGGCAGAACCTGCAGCTAAGACTAAGTCTGCACAAGTGAGAAATGAACCAACAGCAGGAGGAGCCTGGCTCGCCTCAGAGATCATCCACAGTTGAGCAGAGTGGATGTGCCACAGAGCAATGTGCCACTCATGACACATAACACTGTTCTCAAAAAAATTGCCATTTTTAAATTTCATTTTCAGAACAGAACCATGAGTAGGCTATTAGCAAGAAACACATTATCCCTCCCTCCAGCTTATATGTCTCACACGTCCTAAACATTAGCAAAAAAAAAAGTATAAAAAGGCTTGTGGGAAAAAAAATACCACAGAGTCAAACTGCTGTCAACTTTATCCTCCCTAAAACTGTTTTTAGAAAACAAAATGCAATGTCATCATAAAAACTGGCCTTTCTGTCCTTGTGCCCCCTCCCACCATGAGTTTTCTGCCTCTTGGCAGGTTCACTAAGATCAAGTGTCAGGCATACAGTAACAGAACTGAACATGACGCAGGCAAGATGATACTAAAGCACAACTGACATTAAAAACTATCAGCTTGGCTCAAGTTTTCTGTAAAGGTCTGAGACTACCTGGCAGGAATAAACAGTGGGCAAGGTGCTGCTGCAGCACACAGATTTCGTCCAAATCCCACCAAGAACAGCAGAAGTATTCCATCCTGTTGCAAGGGACTTCAAAACCCAAAGGTAATCAGTGATACTTCTCTGAGATTTTTAATGTTGTTCATTATTTTCTCTACTTCTCCTGACTATGTTAGGCACCAACTCAGCATCTTCAATAAAGCCCATCATATTAATTAAAATCCTCTTTAAGGTGCATAAATAGATGTCTGTACTAGTGTATGATCAGAAGATCAATATTTTGCTTGAAGCCCTAAGTGAACTGTGATTTCAGGTTATTGCCTAATAAAAGTTTCAAGTAACTTACAAGTTACTATGTACAATTTATAAGTTGTTATATATTTGCTTCTAAATAAACAGACAAAATATAAACAGCCACAACTTAAGAGATCAGAACATTCATGTTAATATCAAATAAAAATTTCCATGCACTGTTCAAGCCAGAAAATCTTTAATTCCTTATACAGGAAACTGGTTGCTTGGCATGGAAAATACATCCATAACCTTAGACTATAGCAGAATAGAATATGCCAGAGTTATTCTAAAGTAACAATTTTTAAAATTTTTACTTCACTTATTTTTATAAAGCTCCATATACATACAGTGCTAAAGTACATACCCTTTCTTCTTGTAGTAAAGTCACCTATGGTTTGTGAATCAGTTCGCTCTAAACCATGTGGTTTAGGTCTTAAAATTTTAGGACTTTGACCTAATTGGCAAAAAGAAGACTCTCTTAATAATATTCTATTTGCAAGTGGAAAACTGGAATTTTATAAATAAACATCACAACCCCCTGCAGAAAAGTTAATCCCACAAGCATAAGCAAGCTGCTGAAGGAGATTTTACACTCTAGCTGGGAATCACACTAAGGGTTTAAACACCAAACCAGAAACAAAGTAAAGACTGCATGCAAGTAATAAATATATAGGAGGCAAATGTAAAAGCTGTATAAAAAGGCTAAAAAGTGCATCAACAAATATTGCAACTGATCATTACTACTAACTGGTTTGATTTAAAAAAATAAACGTACATATTTGAGGTATATTTACTATCAAAAGAGAACAGTCATGTTTCAGATACAAGTTGAAGTACCCTCAGAGAAATTAAATCTCCTTAGTCACGGAATTTCTTTGGAAATAATGACTCTTGGGAGTCTCCACTCCTGTGGTACTCTTGGGAAGTCTTCTATCCAATGTGTATCTCCCACTTGAGATGCCCCAAGAATCTTTTTTTACCAATGTATTTCTTAAACTTGTTCCCCAGAGGTCTCCATCTGTCTGTACCAAACCCCACCACCCCGACCCTGCAGACACAGTGGGATTTTCTTCCCAAGTTTCCAGCCTGCACACGGCCCCTCCACCAAGGCACAACCACACCTCCACCAGAAATGACCCTGGCATGAAAATACTGATCATCTCCCTGCAGAGAGTAACACAAATCGCCTCCCAAAACAAGGATTTTCTTTAGCCAACCTGACCAAACTCTGCAAGTGTTCCAGGTCATGCCGTCTATTTCAAATAAACGTGATCAAGAATGTGTAATAGCCCTAACCTTTCATTAAAGTCTATCTGACAAAGTATAATATTAATATTTATAAATAATAATATAATACTAATAATATAATACAAATAATATATTATAATATAATATAATAATATATTATATTTATATATTAAATATAAAAAAAGGCAAGTGCCTTCAAGTGGTACACCAAGAAGCCACATGAATAAACCAAATGAAAAGTTTAAGCCTGGTTATGTTAGAAAGCTGCCCTACAGCACAAAATGGAAAAGGACTGGTACAGACTAAGGTGTGGTATTCCCAGCAATGGGTGAGAATGCTTCACAAAGAATAAACTTGGCAGCAAACACCAGAAGTTTGCAAATCGCTGCCCCAAGGGTTTTGCATATGAAGTGCTCTATTAGTGTTATCACTGAAGTATTGGGAATAATCAAGTAACAACAAGAAAGGTAAATACAGGTTTTGTACTGTATCTTAACTTCTACACAGTGCTTCTGAGAGACCATGCAGGTAAGATAAAATTTGTTTATTCATTAGTAGTGCTGCACAGCAACTTCCTTACAAAGAAAAGGACATGAAGTAATTTTTCCACAGACAGTTCTTTTCCAATTTCAAAATCAGATGCTCCCTTAAATGGCTCAATGTGCTGATGAAACGGGTGAACAGCTGGGCAATGCTGACCAAAGACACAGACTGTGAAGCAGAACATGAAGTATTCCTGACTAGAGCCAAGTCAAAAGCATGAGCCAACATGCTGATGTACTCAATTCTGAACTGATCCAATATTTTTAAGTCCTTGCCTATAACTCTCTGATAAAAGCCTGCCTATTTAAAAAGACCAGGATCATCAAACTGATGGAACAATTTAAGAAGTTCAAATCCAAACACTTTTTGATGTGATCATAATAATTTTGCATTTCAGTTTTATAATCTGCTGATCATAATAATTTTGTATTTCACAGTTTTATAATCTGATTTAAAAGAAATCTGGCCCAGTGCAACTCAAGTTAATCTGCACTGACACAGAAGCACAGATTGTAAGCACAATGAGAAAACTAGCAGAGGTAACAGAGTTAATTAAATTATTTAGGCAGTGTGCACTTAATAACCTCTGCTCTTATAACCAAACAGACTAAAGTGCCCAAAACCCATAATACAGAGAATAAGCTCAAGGAACTCAAGGCTGTAACTCATTAATTCTCCTTCTGTTAATGACGCTACATGGTCCAGCACAGCCAACCTTTCTGAACTGGGATTAGCCCCATTTGTAAAACGCGGCTGTTGTGTAACTGCCTGATTCCCACTTAATTTAGCACTTATACCAACCACTCAGATTTCCAGAAGAGCTATATAAATAAGTACAGATCCCTTCAATACTTCTACATCAGAAAAGAACTCACTGAGCTTTCATCTCTTGCTCCTGGAAGACCGTTTAATCTCAATAAATTTGGTGGCAAACCAGCTTGCTGCCACCAACCAGCCAGGATAATGCAATTCCTCACATTTAATGTGTCATAGAGAATTAAAATATTTGTGCAGAGTATTTTCTTCTTCCTCCCTGGAAAAAGAAAACCCAAAGGCCTAAACTCTGTTGAGGAGCTTATACTGTGCAACAGGACAGACCTGACACCAGGGAAAGGAAAAGAGGAAGGGGGGATCAAAATCACGAATCTGAGGTTACCTATATGTGTAACTGCAGAATTCTTTCACCCTGTTTTTGCTCATTTAAGACAATAAAGTGACATGAGCCAGGGCACTGAAAGCCCTTCAGAGTATCCCTTACTGCTTTCAAATGACAATTTTCCCCAGGAGCACATGCCTGTATCTCTGAAAAGCAACCAAGTGATTAAAATATGGAGGGGAAACTGCTTCCCCCCTGTACAGCAGGCTGGTCTCCCACATCTGTTCTATCCAAAAATGCTCACTGAAGTGTCACAGGGCTGTTCTTCACATCACTGTAGTGACAGCAGGGCTCTATGGAGAGCCTGGCTCCATACAGCATTCCAACACCAGCCATACTGAGGAACACATTTCCTGTGCTTCCCACAGGCCCAGATTTACCTCAGTTCAGGAAAGATAATACTTTTAACTTACACACCTATTCTGGGAAAGATAAATCTGGGTAAAGGAAAAAAAAGTTTCATTTATGCAATTTAATTTTTTTTCAAACTGAAAAGGAAATAAATGTTGCAACACCACTGGATGCAAACCTACACGGGGGAAAAACCCAAAACACAAATAAATTATGTCAAGTGAAACCAACTAAACAAGAAGTGAAAATTAGAAGTTTTTACTATTCTATCAAGTCACCATCTGCAAAATTCAGCCAGGAGAGAGAAGCTCAGCTTCTGCATGTCCTATCAGGCTGCAGAAGGGCACTCTGAGCTGAAAAATCATTAATGAAGTCTATTTTTCTAACAAATGGCTGCTTGTAGCAAGTGCCAGGCACAGCAGACGATTGTGGCTGTGGCACTGGAGCATACTCAGATGCATGAATGCTGCTCCTGGTATTTGGGGCACGTCAATGCTGCCTTTGTCTGTGAAGTCACCAGGAGAAGAGTCCATTTCACATGTTTGAGTTAATTTCAAAAAATGCTTTAAACTGAAAAATCATTTTTGGTTTTTGCATTGGCTCTGGTAGTTTTCTACAGAACACTTGGAATATAATATTGAGGCAGGAGGAAGTTGTCCCACTGCAGTAAATTCCTGCATCAGTGTAGGTGGTCCTAATGGTTTTGTTTTTGAGGACATAATGCTGAAGAGATTAATTTGTTCTCAGACTATTGCCTTGAAACACCAGAACTAAACATGATTTCTGTTAAGGACACTTCTTTCCTGACTGGATGCTTGCTCCACGGCTTGCTGGCAAGGGATTTCATGTCAGGAAACTGCAAACATCCTCACAAAAGAGGCCAATACTTCTATTTAAATACTAGCTATTTAGGGCTTAAAATTTTTAGGTAAATATAGTAATGCAACATAAAATTTGAGAAATGCATTATCTGTTTCCTGGACAACAGGATTAATCCTTATGAGACTAGGAGATCATATGTAGGAATGCTAGAGCAGTGCTGTGCTTGGGATAGGAAGGGGAGAGCAAACGGAGAAATCAGCCACATAAATGCACTGCATCCACACAAGAGTACTTTCAGAGAGAAATAACTAATCACAGTTCCTTGTTTCCATCAACAAAATACGTATCTTGACCCCTTTTCCTCTGTAATTAGATGAAACTGAAATTTGCACTGAGGTCCAAGAATTCCCGTACTTAGAATCACTGTTGATTTCTCCTCAAAAAACAAGGCTGAAATTCACTGTCTTGTTCCCAAAAAAATTATTATTTGCTTTTTAATTCTGCAGAGTAAACTCCTGCTTTTCTTCTCTTCCTCACCCAAGTGAACCCTGATTCCCAAGTAAATGGTCTTCAACACAGAGCTCTACAAATATCCTGAATTTGCTTTTTCATCTCTGTTTTTGTAAGACTGTCTCCTGCCAAGGTACTTGTAATTAGAAACATGTATTTAGTTACATAACATTCCAATACATTTCCATACTAGTATCCACCAACAAATAGGAGCATCAATAATGTGCTTTGTGCGGGTGGGGATAAGATATGGATGCTGGTAACTATGGTCTCTTTAGGACAATAAAAACAAATTGAAATCAACTTATCCTTCAATGTTATGAAACATAAAAAGCAGTCACATAAAGAGTTGCTCTTCAGTCTTCTCAGACATCTTTATCCCCTCAAAACAACTTTTTACAGTGAACTGGTAATTTGAATGCTACAGAAAGTAAGAATGAATTGGAAAAAATAAGTCCAACTGGATCTGACAGCTAACATTCACTGCTATTTCTAGAATATTTGGCCAATGCTATAAAACTACTCAAAGAATGGCAAATGCCATAAAATTACTCAGTGAATACCAAAGCTATTAATCATCAAGATACTACTTGACTATTCTGATTTGTGAGTAACTCTACATGTCTGTATTTTATAAGCCCCCAAAGCACGATGAACTAAGAACATTCAGTAACAAAGACTGTTTTAAAACCTAAGCACAGTGTTCTGGAGCATTTATTGACTAGCAGTTTAATGGTGCACTAAGATTTGCAAACTCCAAAAGACTTCAAAAAGAAAACACTGAAAAAAACCCCCCAAAATTTAAATTATTCAGTGGAAAACTA